AAGTGGGATAAGTGACTTGGGAGCAAAAACGGGTTAAAATGATTCGTGTAATTTATTGATAAATTCATTATATTATCGATTAAAAAATATTAATTATAATAAAATATGCATTTTTTCCTATTGTTAATATTTTTTAGTCGATAATATAATGAATTTATCAATAAATTACACGAATCATTTTAACCCGTTTTTGCTCCCAAGTCACTTATCCCACTTTTGCTCCCAATGTTATTTTAAACCATTTTTACTATCAGCCCCTCAATTATTACAAATAAATAAAAAAAAATTTGATATAAATGGAATGCAAGAGAATTAGAAATTTTTCTTAATTTCTGTCTTCATCCTGAAAACTCATTGAGAAAAGACGAGGTGAAAAATTTACGCGGATGGTTCTCCCAGGAATTGTCAAAAAAATTTCACCAAGTTTCCATAAAATTTCTATCAAGTTTCTATAGAAATTCCATGGAAATTTGATGGAATTTTTGTGGAATGTCAATGAAAATTGATGGACATTTTAATGAAAATTCCATGTAAACTTAATGGAAAATCTATGGAAATTTGATGGAAAGTCTAAGAATATTTGATGGAAATTTTATGGAAAATCTATGAAAATTTTATGGAATTTAAAAAAAAAATTAATGGAAAGTCAATGGAAATTTTATAGAATTTATACGTAATGTCCTTGTTAATTTATTCCTACTCTCTAAATCTGAATTAGTAGTTTTCTACTAATGAAAGAGTGCGGATTCGTTTACCAATTGAATTAGTAAAAGTTTTGACTTTTTTAGTAGAAAACTACTAATTGCTTGTAGAAAACTACTAATTCATGGAGTAAATCATATTTTTTACTATTTTAAATTAGTAAACCGATTTACTCCATGAATTAGTAGTTTTCTACTAGCAATTAGTATAGTTTTCTACTAAAAAAGAGTCAAAACTGTTACTAAATCAATTGGTAAACGAAGACACACTCTTTCATTAGTAGAAAACTACTATGTAATTCAGATTTAGAGAGTACCCGAGTCGAAATTTAAACTCTCTATAAGTTCTCTAAAAACCTCCTTTTATCCTCCTTTTATTCTCTCCAACACTTTTATACCCTCTTTTCGACCTCGAATTTGCAAAAGTGGAAATATCTGCTATATTGGAGGCTGAAAGGAGGGTTTAAAGATGACTAGAAAGGCGTAAAAGAGGTTAAAAAAAATCAAAAAAACGAAAAAATGAAATTGGATTTTTTTTCTTATGGACATTATTTATTGACCCTATTGAAGATATATTTATTGGTCTTTGTCGTAATACTATAAAACTTTTAGGAGGAATAAAACTTCGAAAAATTCAAATTAAGAAAAAATTCCAAGACCTCTTTTCAACCTCTAAACATGCAGATTTGGAAATATTTTAGAGCATGATTTCAGGCTGAAAAGAGGCTGAGAAAATCGAGGGTGAAAAGAGGGAAAAATTTCGACTTGGGTAGGGGCACTTTCTGTGGAATTTTTCCATGATTTAATAACTTTTCTTGTCTGAGGAAAAGAATTGATATTTGAAACTTTTCAAATCATCGATTTTCACAATGGTTAGGGCCTATAACGTATATATAATTGATGAAAAATTAACTTTCATGTCGAGCCGGCACTAAAACTCACCCATGTGGTTGATTTTGAGAAAATGAGATTATAAATTTTCTGAAGAACCTGCTAAAATTTACCTTCACATATAGCACTGTAAAAAGAAAGTACTAAAATAGTACCGAAATGTACTAAAACAGTACCGATTTTAGGTATCAAAATAGAACCAAATGACAATTTCGTACCTGAAATCGGTATTAAATTAATACCTTTCTTTTTACAGTGAGGTCTAGGCACTTATAGGGAGTTCCAAGTGGTAAATATTAACAAAATCAGGTTAACTTCTTTGAAGAATTTGACGATATACCATATAGGGACTGTTGTAAATTTTCACGTTATCAAATTTTTACAAAATTAGTTTAATTTTCCCAAAGAAATTGACGAGACAAGACCTGATGGACATGCGGTTGACTCTCGGAAACTTCGTCGTTATAGAATTTTACAAAATTAAGTTAATTTCCCTGCATCATTGAAAAACATTTAAAGAACGCTGTTGTCCTTAATATGTAAAGAGTATAGTAACTGGCGCACTCTCTCAAAGGATCGCTTTTACTCGCCTGAGATCGAATTGGTGCTCTTTTAGCGAGCAGCTGTTGTCCTTTCCAAAATGTCAAAGGACAGTATAAATAGTTACTTACCCTCTAAAAAAAGTAGTAAATTGTTTCAACATTTTTTCAATGCCTAAATCCGTAAATTTCATTTCAAATCCGCATCCGACTGGATTGAAAACTACACATGATTTGAAATGAAATTTTAGGATTCAAAATGAGGATTAAAATTCAGATTCAGAATGATTTAAAAAGAATTTTTTGTATATACAAATACAGATTTGGATATAAAAACTATGATTGGCTAGGAAACTAATTTCGAAATACTTCAGCGTCAGTATCAATGATACTTTTTTTTCAGCGTATATGTGCAATAAACATTTTTTTGATTCAATAAAATGTTGTCCCATTTCAAACTTTAGTTGGCACAACCAAGCTTTATAGTTGAGTCAACAAAATTCCTCTATATTTCTATTTAATTGTGTCAATCAAATTTTGGTTGTACCAACTAAAATCTGGCTGGGATAACCAAAATTTTGTTGACGCAACACAAAATTGTTGCACTGTACATTAAACATGGTTTGTTGTCAACTCAAACCTTTTATCTTATATATGATTGAATAGAAAATTTTCGAAATGTTTCACTTTCGTTGGTGTAGAATTTTTCTCTCAAATCGCAGATCGAAATAACACTTGTTTCAAGTGATTTAAGTGTCTGAAAATTTTCTCTCTTTTGAAAAAAGTGGAAACGAGGAAATTTAGAGAAAAGACATCATCTAGAAAGTGAGAGTGAAATACACACTCTATAGACTGTGTGTTTAATATACAATATGAAATGGATTTTGTATATACATGAATTTGTTTGAATTCATGAGACTATATAGAAATTGTCAAAGGCATGTCTCTCACGTTTCGTTCAACATTTTTAACCGCTTCACCAATGCAGAGACCAAAATCAATACGCGCTCCCTATATCAGCCACACTACGGGCCATAAGGCGTGTACAAGGTAAAAGCTCGTCGTCGGTCGACAGTAGTAGACAGCAACGAATTCTTTCGAAACGTTGATTCGTCTGGCGACGCATGTAAAACCCAGATTAAATCAATGGGACCATAGTTGAAAATTACTTTCACATGATTAGCCTCTGTTGCAGCCTCACATGAAGGCGACGAAGGGAATCGATTGGAGTAATTACGCGCGGAGCTTGACGCGTTTTCTCTCTCTCTCTCTCTCTCTCGCTTCTCAACTTGATGCGAGTCATCGACTCTGCGCGCGATACTGAAAACGTTATCGATCCCCCATTTGCTCATATATGCAAAACTTTTCTCTCTACCAGAAAAAAAGACACTTTTTCCCCTAAATTTCGTTATTTTTTTTTTTCATTTTAAATGAAATAATTATAATAATTTTTTTAAATAGTTGAAAAATTTTAATATTTTTAGAATATATTTTAGATCTCGAGGTGAGATTTTCTGTATTAAAGCGCATTCATAAAAATAATGTTCACTAAAGTGATAACAATTTAAAAAAAAAGAATTTTTGACTTTTCTCTAATTTTTCACTATATAAAATAGGAAATGAATATTTAAATTAATAAAAATTATAGCAATTATGATTAAATATTGAAATGAATAATTTTTATTTGTTTTTGTTTCAATACAAAAAAAAAAAATTTATTTTTGTGTCAGAATTTCTCAAATAGATCATCTAAAATTTTCAAAAAGTAATTAATTTTTAAAATTAATTTTTTTTTACTTCTACTGTAATCAAAATAAGTTTTTGAAAACTATAGGTAATAATTTAATAATTAACCTTTGTTTAATTGAGTATCATTTATTTTTCAAATTTATACTCAAAAATGTAGGTATGCGGATTATAAAACAATGTTTAAATTTTACATAGTACATGACACATTTATTTATTAACATTTTATAAATAAATAATTTTAAAAACTGTATAAAATAAACAGTTTCAAGTGGGGAAAACCCTATTTTTTTATTTTTAAATTAGTCAACTGGATTAAATAAATTTTTATCCTATTTTAATATTAATTTTTCATTTTTCTATATAAAAATTATTATAATTAAAAGGGGGAAAAAAAATTTTTTTTTCCCCATCCATTTCTTATTATCAAAATTGTTTCTGACAATGTTGAACAATAGGAAAAATCACTATGTGTCGCGATCCAAAATTAATGGAGTTGAGGATTTTCAACAACCCTCCTTTTTGATAACCCTTTGCTTTCATCAAGAGCAAAATTGCCGTGTTGTCAACATATAGGGGTGAGAACTGATCAAAGGGATCGCAATGAATCAGTCATTATTTCAATGAATGGTGCGACACTCATGCGGCTTTCCTGCGGCAAACTGATCACGCAGATTCAAGTTTTTTTTCGCGGTTTTCAATTATTCCCGAATACTTGAATAAATCCACTCAATTTATCTAATTTATTTCATACTTCATTGGATGAAAATTAAAAATTTTAATTTAAAAGTTGAATTAATTTTGGTAAATTTTCTTTTTTTTTTGGTCGAATTATATTTTTATATATATTTTTTTTTCCTTGGCAAAATTTATATCTCCACGGGAATATATTTCATAAACAATTTTTTAAAATTTCAAGAAAATCCATTTTTTTTAAGAATAATATCCAAAGAAGATGAAAATACAAAAAAAGTTTAAAAAAAAAAATGATTAAACAGTTTTCAAAACGAATAAATGTTTTTTTTTAATTGTTCAATACCGTGTTTGGATTTTTTAGCTTTTAAAATGGCATATTATTTTTTTTTTAAATAATTAGTTATAATTACTTTTTTTTTGGACTCACCGGGATATTTTCTCTTGTGTTCGGCATCCACTTCTCGTGCAAGAGAAAAATATTTCTCCTTAACATCTTGTGACATATTCTTCCATAGAACACCCAATCTATAATTTAATTATTTATTGTTAGTATAAAAAAATAATAATTTTTCTTCTAAAAAATATGATTTTTTTTCTATTTAAAAAATTAATAATAAAAAAAAATACAATTACTTTGAAAATTAAAATTATTGATTTTTTTCTATAAATTTTACAAATTCACATCTAATTTGATGATTGCTCTTTTCGAAAATACATTTAGAAACGAATAAAATAATCTGTATGAAATAAATATTTTACATGAAATTTTTATAATTAATACCAATTTTTTATTTTTTATTTCAAATTTGTTTTTTAATAATAACAGAGATATTGGTTCTTTTTTTGGTTTTAACTTCTCAATTTAAATAATTAAGAATGAATTAAATATGATTTATCAGGAAATAAAGTATTTTTTTTTGAAATATTTTTTTCTCTACGAGGAAGCAAAAATATTCATTATATATATGAACATAATTACCTAGTAGTAAAGTGAAAAAATTCAAATTTTTTTTCAGACTTATATAAATTAAAAAAAAAATAACAAAAATAAAAAAAAATTTCTGCCTTGTTCTTAAAAACAAAAGGGTGCCAGTGACACTCGCTTGCAGACCTTTTGTTTTTGAAAAGTGCAAAGGTTTCTTGTTTCTTGAAATCGTCACATGTCAAAGAAAAACGAAGCTCTGTTAAATCATATACAAGATTTCATATATATATAATATACTTTATAATTTCCAAACTTAAAGCAACGGAATTCTTTTGTTGCTTCATTAACTACTCTAGACTATTGTAATAAAGAATCCTGTAAAATTTGAGTAAATTAACTTAATTTTAGTTATTTATTTGTAATATTTATTTAAAAAAAAAATAATTTAATTAATAAAAATTATTTCTTTTTGTTATAAAATAGAAAACAGAAAATTAGGGAAAAATTGAAAAAAAAAAAAAAAATTGATACTCACCTAACGCTAATGTCTTTGTTTGATTCCTTGGGATTTTTAAGGGCAAGTTTTTTTCTCCATTCATTTGCAAAGAGCATAAAGGCATTTGCTGGCCTGGGAATTTTCTGTTTTCCCGACGCATTGCTACTGCATAACTCTGTCGTGTAGTTGCGGTCGATTGGTATCTCTTGGTGCACTTGCACCTGAACATATTTTGACGAAAGTTCTTTTTCAAATGGCGCCTTCGACTTTGATTCAATGCATATTTGTTGTCGTTTTGTTGTATCAATAGCATTGTTTAAATTTGAATTTCTCTCTCTTAAAACACCAATCAAATGTTCCGATTGAACAGTACTTGTTGATTTTTTTTTACGATTCTTATTTCGCGCTTTTTTCACTGGAGTTTTATACGATGCATCGGAATCGGTATTTTCCTCTGAACTTTCTGAATTCGCTTGTGAAACTGTTGAAAATAATTTACAAAAAAAAAAAAAACAATTAATAATTATCGTAGAAAAAAAAAGTATTTCTTTATTTTTGATTTTGAAAAAATTAAATTGTGATTTTTTCTATAGTAATTATTTTAATTTTATTATTGTCGTTTAATTATAAATATAGAATTAAAATCATATTTTTTATATAAAAGAAAAATCTATTATTGTTTTCGCTTTTTATAAGCGATTCTATTTTGTTTTTTTTTTTTTTTTTTTTTGTAAAATAACAAAAGAATGAATTTAAAAAAAAAATTTAACAAAAAATACCTATGACATTATTTAGTTATAAAAATGGTCAATAATACAATGGAAATTATGAAAAATTATTCCTCAAGGGACTAAATCTCATTTATGATTAAAAGAAAAATTTCTCTTAACCTGTTGGTATTTATAATTTTATATAAATAATATATTTGTTTGATAATATTAAATAGTAAATTTTTTATTTAATTTCCTATTAAAAAAATTTATAATATTCAAACAGAAATTTTGAGATACATATAATTAATATGATAATATAGTTGATGATATAAAAATAATAAAGATAATAATAATTGAAGAATAAAACAAAAAAATACTAAAGTGAAAATAATAATGATAAAAATTGAATAGTATTAAAAATACAGATAAAATAACATTTTCAAAATAAAAAAAAAAATTATTCAGAAAGTAAAAAATAAATATATCCTTTCATCTCAATTGTGAAATGAAGTTATGAAGTTTCAAAATTGAATAATGATCCAATAAAAAAAATTAGAAATTTTGAAAACGATTAAAAATTCTCACCTTTTGTAATGAAATTCTTAACAAGAGCAAAAGCCTCCATATTTCAAGAAATAATTTTTTTTTTTTTTTTTTTTTTTTTTTTTTTATTTATTCTTTACAAAATGAGGATCGGTGAATTCTAACAATCGCGTGTAACAGCAAAGGACATTATTAATTGCAAGAGAATTATTTTTTAACGATGAAGATCGCGGGTTGTTGAAAAAATATGAACCTTGGAAAATTTTCGTTGTCAATAGTAACACTACTTTCACTACAAAACTGCAATATATTAATAACGACAACGATACGACTGTTGAGAAGAGAAAACAAAAAACAGTTGACAATCGTCAAATAATTGAAAGCTGCCTTCATAGGCGTCAATTCTCAAAATTTTGACAATTTTACCTCTCTCCCTCTCTTTATCATTCTTGCCAACTGTAAAACATTCTAATTTATTGTGTTTTTGATAATATTTTCCAAAGTCTTTAATACCCAAAGAATAAAAGGAGAAAAAAAAAAATAAAAATTGTACAGGACAAATGTATTCTGAAGATTCATATGAATGTCCAAAATGCATCGATTATTATGGTGTTTTAAATTTAAAAAGAGATTGTCAATTGACAGATGTCCAAAAAGCGTGAGTTTTTTTTTTACAGGAAATTTTATAAATATTATTAATTAAGCCGTGCGAAAAATTGTAAAATATTACTAAAAATTCTATATTTATTATTAACATTATTTTTGTAATTTTTTTTTTGTTACTTAAAATTAAATTTAAAAAAAAATCAAAAGAATTAAAATTACTTAATAAAATTTTTTTGAAGAGATAATAATATTCATTTAAATTAAAAATATTATTAATATATAACAAAAATGCAGAAATTTTATACTATTTTTTTGTAAAATATTTTTGTTTGCAACTATTATATTATAATTTTTTTTTTTTTTAAATTTATTTTGTTTAAAATATTTTTGCTCTAAAAATTTATTATTATACATGAAAATTTGTAATCTCATAAACAAATCTATATAACAAGAATGTTCGTGTTTCATCGCAATTTAAGCATAAAACTTAAATAATTACTTAATTCAAAAAATTACATTGACACGCCCTTCATTTTCTACACCATAATAATGAAAATGACACGAATTAAGTAGACGAATTTAATTAAACTGGTGACCGATTTTTGAAGTGCCTTGAGAAATTAGTATAACACGCCTATAGAAAAACGATATTCTAATTTCATACACAATATATATAAAACACTCATTATTATTCTCCGAAACATAACCGAATATGAATAAAATTAACAAATTTTACAAAATTTACTTTTGTTAAAAATGATGTAAATATAAGTACGAGATTTAATTTGAATCTGTTAATTACTGATACATTATAAATAATAATAATTATTATTTTTTTATTGTTATTATCTATTATTGTTGTAGTATTATTATTAATAATTAATTAACTATAATAATTAAAAGAATTATTTTAACATGAAATTAGAAAAATGAAAAAAAAATTCTATTTTTGAAATTTAATTGCATAAATTATTGAACTTTTGGTATCGTTTGAAGTGATTGAGTGAAGATAATAATAGATCAAAAAAGTAATTGGTTTTTTGTCGTAAGAAAGTTTTTGTCGTAAAATAAGTGGGTAAATTCCTCTTTCAGGTTCAGACGTTTGGCCATTCAATATAATCCTGAGAGGCAAAAGGATAAAAGCGTCGAGGTTGTTTTCGGTTTGATTGCAGAAGCGTACGACGTCTTGTCGGATCCTCTCAGACGAGCAGTTTATGATCAGTATGGCGAGAAAGGTTTAAAGAGAGGTGTACCAGGACCAGAAGGTTGTATACAACCCTACGTTTTTCATGGAGAACCCTTAAAAACATACAGGTTTTTTTTTTTTTTTTTTCTTAAATCACAATAAAATTCTGATTTTTTTTTTAAAAATAATAATTAATTATTAAAAAGCAAAAAATAAAAATTATAAATAAATTAAAATGTGAAACAAAATAAATATATATTTATTATTTTTAATTTATAGTATATTAATTAAGATTTTTTTTTTAAACATAAAAAGGGAATTCTTTGGAACGACGAGTCCTTATGCAGATTTATTAAATATAGTAGAACATCCTTTATCCTGTTTTGAAACATCTGAAGGACGTGATGTCAAGCGCAAAGAAGAACCTTTGATAAAACCCTTGTTACTAACTTTATCCGAGGTTGTGAATATTAAATTATTAATTATATAATCTAATTAATTTTTGTTACGAAATAATTTTTTTTTTTCAAATTAAAACTAAGATTATTTAAGATAAATAAAATTTAAAAAAATAAATAAAAATTGAAAAAATAAATACTAAATATAAATATTTATTCGATTTAAATAATATTATTATTTAGCTCTGAGATAAAATTTATTATTACTTTATTTATTTCAAATAAGTTCGAATAAGAAAAATTTCTTTGGTTATATGTATATATAGAAAAATTAAAATTTTAGGTATATTTTGGTGGTTTAAAAAAAATGAAAATACAAAGACTCGTCTTGATCGGCGAAGATAAAGCGACCACTGAGATGAATGAAAAAATTCTTACAATACACATCAAACCAGGATTACCATCTGGGACTAAAATTGTTTTTCCAGAAGAGGGAGATCAAGGACCAACAAAAATTCCTGGTACAAATTTTTCAACTTAATAATTAATAATTTATTTTTCAATAATTCTAACATTACGTTAAATTATTTTTCTATTAAAATTTTTAATTTAATCATTTTCAAATTTTTTTTATTAATTTACAATAATTTTTCATTAAATTACTATGAACAATAATTTATAATAAAAATAATAATTTAAAAAATGGATTAAAAAAAGATTTTCGAAGAAAATTTGAAATAGCTAATACAAAATTATGCAACAAATAAGTATTACTGCCCTATAACGGAAAAACATTACTTTATAGTGATATGTAAATATGTGTCACTAACGTCTGTTTTTCCGTTGTAGGGCAGTATATTTATTATGTAATTTAGCTGATATAATTTTCATTACGGAGGATCGTCCACACGAAATATTCAAGCGAAATGAAAATAATCTTATTATGACTGTTAATATTTTTTTGCGAGAAGCTCTGACAGGACTGTCAATTACAGTTAATACAATCGATGACCGAATTTTACGGGTTCCAATTACATCAGTAATTACGTAAGTAAATATTAATTTCATTTAATTAATTTTAATTAAATCCTTCATTTAAATTACCATTATAATGAAATAAATATATAAATTTTTATATAATTAAATGTATAATTTAAATTAATTTTTATCCCTTGATAATTATTAAAATAATAAATAATTAAATTATTAATTAAACATTTGATTCATTTACAGACCTAATTATCAAAAACGAATAACAGGAGAGGGTCTACCAATTGTAAACAATCCTAAAGAAAGAGGAGATTTATTGATTGATTTTAACATTGAATTTCCCGTTTATATGCCGGTTGAAAGTAAAAATTATATAAAAAAGGCATTTAAGATTTTACATGATACTGAGTCAACAGAGGACACCGAGTATATTCATCGATTTTTACTTGCTGATAAAATACGAAGAAATGTCGATGATGACGTTCCTTTACAAAGAAGCCCCGACGATGAACTAAATAAATTAGTTTGTTAATTAAAAAATTGAACATTCTTTGATAATCGCGTTATAACGATTTTATTTTAACGATCTTTTGTAATTTTTATTATATATATTTATTTGTAATAAATATTCAAATCTAAGAAAAAGATTTTATTAAATTATTTTATTTATTGAACTATAAATAAACTCCTCGATTATATATGACAATTTAAGTTAAATAAAAATATTGAATTGAACATTCAATTTCTATTTACTTATTCAGGAATCTTCCAATAATTTATATTAAATCCTATTTAAGATGATTCCTACAAACTGCAGTGTATGACTGGTTGCAATATTTAGGTTACTTGAAATATTTATTTCTTTAAAATATTTACATTTAACAATTAAAAAGTGATAAACAAAATTTAAAAAAAAAACCTTATTTATATTCTTAAGATATTTTTAATAAGTTATTAAATTTTTTCTATAAGTTTAGCTAAAAAATTTCCCGCATTATTTTTAATCTAATATGCCGGTAAAAGTAAGTATTACCGACAGTGTCAATAAATTTAGACTGTTTTATCAATCGGGTAATAAAGATAAAATTATCTAATAGCATATATAATTATCTGACATCTGAAGAAACAATACCTCAAGAAATCATATGACTTCTCTGCACGTGACTTTATTTACCATTTATTTACAGTCATGTTACAACTCCTGAATATATACGATGGAGTTTTTATAAGTGAGTGATAGTGAGTAAATCTGAATTCAATTGGGAATGCAATTACTTTTCCTCTCGTTGACTTATAATGTCTTTTATCACTAAATTGTTCTTGTCGAAAAACGATTTCACCAAACAGAATGCTATTGAAAGTGACACGCCATTAAATATTGAAAATCAGACAAATGAAAGGTAAGCGAACTAATCTGGATTAGAACCATATTCTATTTTTTTTTTCAATGCTTTAAATAAAGTCTCCGTCAAATAACAGCATATTTTGATACACTCTTTTTCGATTCTAACCTTTCAATCAATTAAATGCGTATATTTTAAAACATTTTATTAAATTTTGTATATATTTATTTTGTCATCTCAATGTAAAATATAAATTGACAAATAATTTGTCAAGAAGAACCTCAATATGTGAAATAAATACCTAGTTGTATACATATATTGCGAAAGTAAAGAAAGTGTATAGTAGGAGTAAAGGACGCCATTCATCAATGCAACTCCTGGCAATTCTAACCTAACGTAACGTCATAAAACCTGTTGATATCAACGCAGCAGTTAAAATAAAAATTCCATTCTAATATAAATAAATTCAGTGATCATGCTTTTCTTTTAATAAAAAAAAAATGTATAATTCGAAATCTAATCTATAAAAAATATATAAACTCGTAGTTTCTTATTTTTTTATAATTTAGACATTTTTTATCAATAAAAAAAATAAAAAGACAATTTTGATTAAAAACAAGTAATTAAAGAGATAAAGATTATGACAATTTTTTTACGTGTATCCAAAATTCCCAAAATACTCAACAAACTACTTGTTTTGACAATCAATGATTTTGTTTTGTTTTTTGTTAGAAACTAGACAACTTTCAATAATTGAAAAGTAATATAAGTTTCTCTTTTACATTTAACTATAAAGTAAGAGATGTAAATGTAATTTTAAAAAAATTATAAAAATTAAGGGTACAATTTAAATAATTTATAATTAATAATTTACAGAAAATCTTTGAACTTTGGAACGGATCAGGTTCGAATATTATTATTCCGTGAATGTGAATGGCGTGGAAGAAAACTTCTTTTTGATTCTGTAACAGTGGAGAAATCGCAGCCTAAAAATTCGTCATTTTGTTCATTATTTAAAAGTGAAAAAGAGAAAAAATGCAAACCCTCAGGAGAAACAGTGAATGGAATTGTCGAGGTATTTTTTCACGAGTTATAAACAATTTACATTAATTTATTAATAAATTGGGACTTTTAATTGTAAATTTTTTCTTTTTACATTAGCAACAAAAATTAGCAAACGAAGACGTGAATTTGTTAAGTGAAATGGTTTTTGGCACTGTGGCCATGACATACAGAGGACCGTCTTTTAAGGTAAAATTCAATTTTTTAGTTATGAATTTTTTTTTAATTAAAAAATTAAATTTACAAATGAATATGATGATTCGTTTAGATTCACACAATAAATTCTCCGCCATGTATCATGTGTACTAAAGTCTTCCCAGCATCTGAGCACAGTACATGCCGGAAAAGGTAATAAGAAAAAAAAATTATTTATTATGTAGAAAATTAATTAAATTATTATTAATTTAATTTATTTTTTTATTTGAATTTTTTCCAGTGAAAAACAATCAGATGAACGTATTGTACACAATCCTGAATCTAACTCAAGTAGTGGAAGTGTAAGAACACAAGGTATAAGAAATTAGAAACTTAAAGTACTAAATAAGATGACGAACAAATAATTTATTTTTAAATTATTGTTTTTTTTTATCAGACTCGCGGCCCAGCTCCGGAAATTTATCAGCAAATAGTCTCAGTCCAAATATTAGAAAGAGCTCTACGTGTTCTAGTACAGGAAGTGGTTGGGACATAGATATTTGTTTACCTCATGGTAGTAAGTTCAATAAAGTTAAATAAATTCTAATTAATACTTTAAATATTAATATTTAATATTCATAATTTTATTTTCAGGTTCACATTCATTAGAAAGCAATTTTTCAGGAAAAGGCAATAGTCTAAATAGTCTTCGAAGAAGATGGATTCGATCCATTTCAACATCTTTGAGTCCCACTGAATCCGATTATTTGTTCACGCATTACAATGAAAATTCTAATGAACAGGAAAAAAATGTTCGTCGACACAAAACGAGGCTTGGTTTAGCTTTATTAATACGACTTACGCGAGGACATGAACAGTAATGTTTCAAAATTCATTAAAAGTTAAAATGCTTTTTTCTTCGACATAATTTCATTTTCTTTTTTTTTTGTTTTTTTAATTTATATAGAGAAATGGAATCTAAATTGTTGGAACATGCGGCTTTTCTCGAAGGAATGTTAAATCGATTACGTCTATCATGTGCTGGCTCAAATAAAGGTCAAAACAAGGACAAAGGAAATGAATTGATAACACGTCTACAGAAAGCATCGTCTTGTTGCACAATTTGGTTATTACGTTTTCTTATGAATTCCACTGACTCGACAACACCTTTATTGTGGCACGATACTATGTTAAATACGACATTGCCGAAAGAAGAAAGATTCAACATAATACACAATGGTCTTAAGGAAATGTGTAGACTGCTCGACAATTTCGATACAAAATCAACCAAGTTGTAAGCGAAAATTATTCTATATTTTTTAATATGTACAGTGACCACTTTATGATTATGATTTTTTTTTTAAATTAAAACTTTGTGATAAATTATGCTTCATTTTTGACGTTAAAATTAAATTGAACATAAGCTTCCGTTTTTTTTAAATTTAACAACTTAAAAAAATGTTTTGAATTAATTCACATTCTTAATTTATTAATTCGTCCAATTTAAACAAAATTACATTTAATAATTAAATTATTTTGTAAGTTAATTATTTTAAAATTCAATTACTTTCTTAAACATTTATTTTGTAAATTTAATTATATTAAGTTATAAATTTCCGTGTAACACAAATCGTTATTTTTTAAAAATACTTTATCTATTTCTTCGAATTATAAAATTCTCTATTTTTTTTTTGCCAGTTTTGTGAATAGGAAAAAAGATATTTGTTTAAAAAATCTTTAATAATAAATAAAAAAAAAACATAAAACTGATTGATAATTAATAGTTAACTTGATTGATAATTTTATAATTAAATTTTCAAAACAATTAAATAAATTTAAAATAAATGATTTTAAAATTGTATTTTTTAAATAACTAAATTGAGAAAAAATTCAATTTTATAAAATAAATTGAAATTGTAATATATAATCTTTACTTAAAATGCATTTTTAGCTTCTTAAGCACGTTAGTGACTGCCGTTTTAACCCATCACCTCGGTTGGGTTCATACAGTTTCATCTGGATTTAATCGCGAGACGGTAAATATCTAATTATTTTTGTCCTTTAAACATTTAGTTTATTTTTTCTTTTATTATAAATAAATTTCAATTTCATTAAAATTCTAAGGCCTCTTAAAAAATTGAATTTGAAAATTCAAGATTATTTTTAAAAGGCTTTCTGAAAGTAAAATGTTGTTCTAATTCTTTTTTTCTTTTTTTTAATTACTAAATTAAATAAGCATATTTTTTCAACAGGTGGAAAAATTACGTAAGCAATTTCCCTGCAATCCCTTGTGGGCTCAACTCGGAGATTTATACGGTGCCTTGGGGAATCCAGTAAAAGTCGTTCACACTGTAATCGCTGGAGATTCTGACAAAGTTGACACTATTAATTCTATATTAATATTTTTAACCTATTTCATTCGCAGTGGAATTGTGAAAAAAGAATATGAGCGTAGATGTAAATCACAGCAAGACGTTCAAGAGGCAATAATTTTATTGGAACAATTAAAAAAAAGAAATCGTCCCTCATTATCAAAACCGTCCATTATTCCCAATAATTCGAGAGTACGTAAGACTTCAAAGAGGCGAGTGGAATTAAAAAAGTCTGATTTAGATGAAGGCAAAATTTACGAGAGTAATCAAAGAAAAATCTCCGAAGCCGTGACACCAAAATTAAAACGAAGTAGCACATTACTAAAGAATCTTGACACTTTAAATGGATTACATCCAAAATTTGAATTCGACTCACATTGGATAGAAGAAAGTGAAATGAAAACTAATACAGCAGCGAGTAAAGTAAAAATTATTGTTAGCGAAACTTCACCGTGTGAAATTCGAAAAGATCAAAGTATGTATCGAGAAAATGCTTTACAGGAATTAGAAAAGAAATTTAACGATGAGGTTGACGATGCTTTTATGGAAACAAAACTTGATACACTTACAAGGGATCGTTTAAGTGAAATAAGAAAACTCAATTCCGATGATTTAGGAATTGATTCCTATTCACTTCCATCAAATATTGAATTTTCAAACCAAAGACAAGAGACCCAGGTTTTTTTTACATTGGGCGATGAAGAGAAACCCCTTAAGTCACGATTACTTCCCCGATGTAATTGTCAATGTGCCTTTACATTTACAAAAGTGCCAAGTACTTCAGCCGATCTACCAGAAGGTGTTCTCCGTAAAATTATCCAAAGAAATTTCCCCGAATCATCGAAAAATATGCAAGTTTCACCTGAAGCTGCATCTAATGATTCTTTAAGTTGTCTCAAATGTCGAAGAAGAAATAAAGCATCGAAGGAAAATTATGAAAACGATAAATTACACCTTGAAACACCAACAAACGCTACCGATGTTCTTCGCTCGTGTGTAAATTCATGTTCCAATGATGGAATGTTCACTTTACCTGATTTAAATAGTTTCGAAGCTTTAATGGAAGCAAATAATGTAATTGAATTACCAATGCCACGCTCAAATCAAATTCCAATAAGAAAAAAAATACCAGAAAATGTAGGATTCACGAATTCATTGATAAGCCGAAAAATTGTACTCAATGAGAAAAAGAAATCACTTCCTGAGATTTGTGATTCGGAATATACCTGGGGATTGGTGATGCAGGGAATGATAAAGAGAAAAAAATCTCGGAGAAAATATAAAGATGAGAAAGACGAGAGTGAGGATCAAGTGAAAAATTGGTGGCAACCAATGAGAGAGGAAATTGAAATTAATGCCCGATTTCCTTCAGTCGATCAACCAGTGGCTGAATCTCTTTGCATTTTAGCTGATCTCGATACTTGGCAAGTTGGACTTTTATCCAATAATTCGCCTGTTCACAATCCCCCGTTACCAATTGGAATGTCGCGACTCGTTGCCAACATGTTGGAGGGTTTCTCCTATATTTGGAAAAAATATCACTCTACAGAAGATGTAAGTTTCAAAATAATTCTTAAAATTTACGTACCTAATTGTATAATTTTTTTTTTCAATTCTTTATTTTATTTATTTATTATAATAAATTTATTCTTCTTTTCGTACGAGGCTCGAAGTAAACAAATTTTCATTTTTTTTTTTACAATTTTTGATATTTTAAAAAAAAAGTTTAAGTAGCAAAAAATCGTTCCCCATAAAGTACCTTATTGTCGCATAATACAAAACAATTTTAATTTTTTCTTATGATTAAACAAGTTTTTGTCCTCATTATTGTGTATTATAATTTCAATTATAAAGATATATTTAATTATTTAAATGAATAATTGAATATAATTTCAATTGATTCATTGCAAAATTGAAGAAAAATGTGATATTTTTATTAAAAAAAAATAAGTTGAACTTTTTGTTTTAGATTTATTCTAAATCTCAGTTCAAATTTTGAAAATTATTCTAACTTCAAAATTCTTTTAAATATTTAATTTATCAATATTCAATAAATCGACAAAGAAAAAGTTATTTAAAAAAATTGTACATGTTTAAATGTTGAAAAAGAAAAGTAATTTAATTAAAATTACTAACTTGAAAAATTTATATAAAAAAAAAAAATAAAATTCATTTTACTGAAACGTATTTGTTTGTTAAAAAATATATTTTTAAATTTAAAAAAAAAAAATTTTTTAAATATGAAGTAGATAATTTTTGCAAATTTTAAGAATTTTGATTTTAACAAGTTCGGAAATTATTATTTTTTACTTGTTTTATTTTACAAAGCTTTTTCAGAAGAAACAAAAATGAATTTATTTATTAATCAAAGATTTTAATTTGTATTGTTATCAGTCAGTCTTTTAATGACTTCCTTCCATAGAATTTGTCAAACGTTGACATTGTCCTTAATTGAATTTTAAGTGTTACTAAAACACACATTATAAAGCTTTATATGTGCAAATTTAATTCATTTTTATTTTTCAATAAAATTAAGTGAATAAAAAATTATTTAAATTTTTAATAAAAAATTAAATTGAATTTTTCACAGTGTATTCAACTTTTGGAAAGTCGACTGAGGGAAATGTGGCTGCGTAGCGAAACATTAGCCGAAATGTTGATGACAGTAGATCCTTATGATATAAATGTAAACAATCTAACAAATTCTTTGGATATGGATGCTGCCGATTTGCCTCTTTTGCTTGCTGTAGCGACAACACATTCTCCTCAAATTACGCAAAAGTTCGGTCTTACTTTAGCTTAAATGCCAAAAACGTTCGATTACTGCCACTTTTTAAATTGTGTCTTAACTTATATAAGTGTGTTGTCTTGTAAAAATAAGAGACATAAAAAATTCATGATTGACGTCAAAAGCATTTTGTTCTGTTTTTTTTTTCGTTTCTTATTATTAGAATTGTGTGTTTCAAATCATAATTTATTTTTGTGAATGAAAATGACGTATTGAACGCGACAAAACAAAAGTGGTAGTTGTATTTATTATTCATTCGTCACTATTTATTTATAAAACAAAACTGTAATATCGGAAACGTGTAAATGTGAACGATATTGTCCTTTATTTCAGTTAAGTCATTTGCAATATGTACTACATTATATTTATAGCTCTCAGTGACTAAAATTTAATACTCGATTTAATGTAATTTTTGACAAGTTACATTTTTTTTATTTTGATATTGCATGATGAAAACATAAAAAAACGATAAAAGTTAATTTTTTTTTTTTTTTTTTTTTTTTGACGTTTGTTAATTTATTCTTTTTGATAACCATTAGGGCGTTCATTGAAATATTCTGAATTACTTGTTAAAGTGTCTATTTTTAAGTTTATGTACATATGTATTATATGTCTTCAAAATATGAAGAATATTTCTTCACATAGAAAGTTTAATTGTATGTGAGAGTTTATTGTAAAGTATATTGTGTTTTTTTACATATCATTTGAAAAAAGAATGTTGTAAACTATTTTCAAAACGATTAATAAACATTTTTCTACAGATATTTAAATTTTTTTTTAAAAAATGTATTTTTTATTTGAACACTATTCAAATATAAAAGGATAATTAATTTAATCTATAATGGACAATGACAATTTTATATTTGACAAATTTAAACTGTTTTCAGTTGTCTACTGTTTTATCTACCGGTTTCCTGTCACTTGGTATATTTGTCAAAATTTTATATGATTTATTATTAATACAATTTTTCTTTTAACTATTATTTTTTTTTCAAAATTATGCAGATTTGTCCAGCAGAAGCGTGAGTAAACCTGTTATAAATTTAATTAAATTACCTTTTAAGGTTAATATTATATTTACATTTATGTCTATCTAAATTCTAATTTGTTTTTAATAATTTTTTAAATTATTAGTCTCAAGCGAGAGAAATCTCTGTCGATTATAGAAGCAAAAAATAAAATTCGGGTATGAATAAATTCTTTAATATTTGAAATTATTTTCATTTTATATTGATTAAAAACAATTTTTATAACTGAAATAATTTTACATTTTTTCAGCTGGGGCACGAATCTGGTTGTAATTGTTGTTGTTGCTGTTCTCCACAGCCGAAATGTTTGGTAAGTAAAATTTCTTTAATTACCCGTAAAGAAAAATCAATTATAACTATTTTAACTTTATTTTTATTACAGAAATACATTCAACCAGAAGCTGCAAAATCCTTCGCTCCAGTCAGGGTGAGATTTATTATACAATACTTATACAAAATCAAAAATCATCATCTTATATATTCATAATTCACAAATTCAATATAATTGAACATTTAAAAAAGGAGTAAAATACAAAAATATTTTTAGTATTATTGGAAACCAAATATTGCAGTTGAAGACAATACTACTTATAAATTATCATTTTGGGATGGTCCTAGTACTCGAGCAAAACCTTACAGTCCTGAAGATTGTTTAACAATCGGAGATGGTCCATTGTCTGATGAAACGACTCATAAGGTAAATAAATAAATCAAATAGAAATTTTCATTCGATATTCTATTTTTTTTTTTTTGTTTATAATTTTACAGTTGAGTTATCTTGGAAATTGGTGCGTTCAACCAGAGGCCAAAATTACACCATGTGACAAAGAATTATTTCAAAGAGGACCAATACAAGATGTGACTACTCAAAAACATGATTTCACCTGGAAATCGTTATCAAAAATCAAACCAATAAAAGAACGAAAAAATTTGTATTCTCCTTGTGTGTCTATGTCAGGTAAAAAGTTACTCAAATATAAATTTAATAAAATATTAAATTAAATTTTAACATAATTTAAAATTAAAAAATATGAAAAATTCTAAATTTATTTTTTACAGACGACACAACATACAAATTAAGTTATTTTCCTTCCGCTTGTCATGAATCTGTCCAATCATTCAAACCAATTTCAAAATACGAAAAATCTGATGTACCAGTAGAAGGTTGCACCACCTATAAATTAAGTTACTGGCCCAATCAATCACCAGTGAAGGTATAATTAAATAATATTGAAAATTAAAGTTAAAATACTAATGAAAAGTACAGATTTAAAAAAAATTCTCAATTTGAAATGAGAAAGGAAATTTTTTTTAATAAAATTTGTAAAATTTTATTTTTTAGGAAGAACATCCGTGGAATTTAAAAAGACAATATCATCCACCAGTAACGCCTTTGGATGATTGTACAACATATAAATTGAGTTATTGGCCAAATTGTGAAAGACCACGAAAACCATTTACAATGAAGAATGCAAAAAATTTATTTAATACCTCATGTTGTTTTGACGACAACACAACTTATAAATTAAGTTTCTTTGGATGCGGTGGAGACAAAGCGGATCTGATAAAGCAACCGGAAAACGTCATTTTCTCACGTTGCCCACTCTCCCTTGACACCACAAACAGAGTATATTCTTAAATTCTTATCTTCTGTATTAAATTTTGTAAATTTTACTAATTTACATATTCTAGTTACAAATTTTTTCAATTTTTTTAAAATTTGTTTTTTAATATATTTTTTTTTAATACTGCTATTAAATAATTATAATATTCTTAGAAATATAATTCTTTATTAAATTATATACTTATTCTACAAGAGTAATTAAATAATTTAAAAATATTATCAGTTTAATAATTTTTAAGTTCAATAGCATAAATAAAAATTTAAAATTTATAAAATATATATAACTAAAATTCACTGAAACATTGATTTATCTAAAAATGTATTTTTAAATTAGAAATGAAATGAAATTAAAATTTTTCTAAAAAGGTTTTAATTATTATTATATTTTTGCTCCAGTTGAGCTACTTAGGGAATTGGTGCGTCAAACCGGAAGCACCAGTTATGCCATGTCGACGCGATTTGCTTGGTAAAGGACCATTGCAGGACGTAACGACGCAAAAACACGATTACACGTGGAAATGTAATGTTCCCGACTTTGGTTTTCGACCCGAGGACAATCTCACGTTTTCGCCACTACCTCTTGAGTGTAAGTATATAATAGTTATACCTATACGCGAAGATAAAAAAAAAATTATATGCCAGTAAGATAAATATATGATTTACATACATATATAGAAGAAGCAAATTGAGATTGTTTTTCTTCATTGCTCACGATTTCCCGCAATCGCGCAATTAAAATAACTTTTTACTACTATCTATAGCATTTCGCGGCTAAAAGATCATTGCCTCCGGATTACTCATACCTTTTACATTGCTCAGATTTTATATACACTCTTTAATACTCTGAACATTAACCCACATAGAAGATATGTAATTCGAAAATTTTATTATTATAAGATAAATGACTCTCTTGGGTAATACTTGTTGTAAATTTTGTCTGAATAAAAAAAAAGAAGATATTTTTATTTCACGTAAACGTTGAAAAATACTATAAAGTTTAAAACCGCTCTTTTCAATATATTATTTATATTTATTTATATTGATATATAAAAAAAGAGAGTTAAAAAAAGGGTAATAATTTAAGTATAGAGTAAAAATATAAAAAAAAAAATTAAATTTTAAAAGGCATAAATACATTAACAGCATTTATAATATTTAGAAAAATAAATATTTTAATAAATTCCCACAGAATTTATTTCGTAATTGTTGCGAAAATTCTTGTGCTCCCACATGACATTGTTTATCACTGTGTGCATTCAAGTTTTTGCCTAATTATTCATTGCGCATCAATCCTTTTCTCTTTCAAAATAATATAAAAATGAGAATTCATCTATCTTGACAACAAATATGAATTAATCATTTCCTTTCTTTTGTAGTGTTTTTTCTTTGATCTTTTTCTTTTCTATATGGCATTTAATTTTTTATCAATAGTTGCGATCAACGATGCGATTGCAATATAATTCTTCTTGGAAAGCTTCATTCAGTGGGTGTTTAATTTGTCGCTATTACATTAAAAAAAAAAAGTTTTTCTGAATTTTGATGTGAATAATTTTAATTTTATGAATTTAATTAAAATGTATTTTTTTAGATTGCACAACAAATAGATTGTCGTACATACCAAATAATTTCAAGTCTTTGAAATCGAATGTGTCTTTTAAACCTATACAAACATATCAACCGAGTGATGTACCATTCAATGCTGAGACGACAATGCGTCTCAGTTATCAACCAGTTGAACATGCTGACAAAGTGGAAATGCCCTGGTCTGGTAAAAATTCTTATCAAAAACCTACGACACCATTAGAAGAAAATACAACGTATAATTTAAGGTACAAAGCAAAAATTATGCTTAATTTTTAATATTGCGCTATTCTAATAGAAATGAAAATCAGTTGAATCGAATTATAAAAGTTGAAATTATCAATAAAATTTTCGAAATAGGACAACGACAATTTTTCAATTTTAATTAATGAAAATTCTTATATCAATCGTGATTTATACCCGTACACCGTGAAAATAAATTTAATATTTGTTTTCTAATCTAAATAGTATCAAAAAATTTTATTTTTAAATAAATTAAAAATTTTATGTTACAGTTACATTTCACCAGGAAAATTTGTTCCTTTTTCTTCCTCTTCACCATTATGTCACCAAAAAAATTTTTGTGAATGTTAGTGTAAAAATTTAACTATTTAATAATTGTATAAAAATTCATTAATTTCTAATGTTCGAAAAAAATGTGTGTTAACAAAGTATTTTTAGTGTATTAAAATAATAATTATATTTTAATAGAAATTCTAAAATCAGAATCAAATTTTTCACAGTTCCAATTACGCGATCATGTTCTCCGTCCGCGTGTTGTCCTTGTATTGGTAAGTTATTTTTAATTTAAAAATTTTAATACATATCATATTTTTATGATACATTAAACTTGATGTTTATTTTTATATTTTTTTAAATTTATTTTTAAATATTACAATTATACAATTTATTTTAAATAAATATACTAAATAAATGTTGTATTTTTCGGTTTGATGAAAAATTTTACATAAAACGAAATTAAACAAAAAAAAAATGAATTATTTTTTTATTTAAGCTAATTCTTCTGATTATTTTAAAATTTATTTTTCAGCTTGTGGATCAAATTAAAAAATTCGAAATCAGCTGCGTACAGAAGAAAAGGGAAACTTGAAATATTTATTGTATATAGTACAAATGAACAGAATAAATTTTATTTGTGATGAAATATTTAAGGCAATATTTTTTTTCTAACATTAATTAATTCAAAATAATTGCAATCAATTTATAGGGTGAATGTAATATATCACTTATAAGAATCGAATGAGAATAGCTTGCTAATTCTTATTATTCGTTTGAAATGAGATATGATAATATTAAGTCCTTGTGTCATTTGAACGAGTTTCCTGTCGAGTCGTGAGATAAATTAATAAAAATCTTACATATTATTTCTATAAATATTATAAAAAAATTTCTATTTTCGAAAAGCAAATTTCATTTTTAAATTTCTTTTACCACTACTGTTAAAATAATTTTTAAAAATAAAAAAGTTTTTACAACTTGCGTGTACCACGAAAACGTATTTAATTTTTTTTTCTATTTTCTTATTTATATAATATAAATTAATAATTTTTGTGGATATTTCCGACAAAAATAAATTAATAAATACGCAATGAACAATGTTCTTAAATAAGAATATAATAAAATATGGATATTTTAAAAGAATAGAATAATGTAATAAATATAAATACAGCTTGAAACCTATGAAACTAAATAATGTATAGAAAAATAAAAGTTATATGAGACGGAATATGCTAAAGGTATATAGTAATTGGAAATTCTGTTAAGAGTATAAAAGTAATTTTCTAAAGGTGCACTTATCCTTACTTTCAAAAAGGATCGATTCACAGGTATGTGAAAGGTTGTAAGGGCTACTAAATCATCCCAAATTTAAATATAACTCTAATGATTTTACCCAAAGTACGTCATATTTTTATTTTTCTATTGTTCTATTGTTGAAACCTATAAGGATTTTGAAAACTGATTTTACAGAATTTATTTCAAAAACCAAATATATTAACCACACTGTAGGAAAAAAACTAATTAATTGCTAAAAAACGAAATATATAAATTAACGAGAAGATAAAATTTTATTAATAACTTACTTAATATAGTATTGCAAAATCATCTTTAAAACCGGAAGAAAATAACCTCAAAACTCGTACTTAACAATTCGTACTTTTTAAAGTATTTTTTTAAACTATGTATTAAAAAAAAAATTAAGAAAAACTTAGAAGAAATAAATATCGTTAAAATAAACTTTGTATATTATTCAAAAAATAGTTATATTATTCTAATAAAACATTATTGTTTAAATCACTTAAACGATTTAAATTTTAAAAAGATTGCGCACGCATTGAAACTTGAAACTTCATGAATGTAGTAATAAAATCAGGGCCCCGTTATACTTAAAAGTTCAATTAATTGCTATATTAATAATGTCTAAATAAATATGTAAATATTTAAAATGATTAAAAAATAATAATACAATTTTTTCCATTAAAAATGAATACAACATATTTTATGAATTTAATGCTAATGAGATTTTAATTTAAAAAAAAAACAAAGGTGCCACACTCTACATACCTGAAGTTTGAATTGTATGAGGAACGCGCGGGTTAGGTTGGTTCTATTCCTGCAGTTGTCCCAAACGCATCAAACGCAGTAGAGAACGGTATAGAAGCTTGACCACCGGTTGTAACGGTAAGTTTTTTGGAATTCTCTTGAAAGTAGCATCCTGTGTTATTTAACTTATAAAATATAATATTATTGTGTAATGTTGAAGCATCTAATTGTTTTTTAAATGTAGAATATGTTCGTTATTCGTTCTCAAGTCGTTTTTGTCTCCAATTGATATTTTATAGGTTAGGTTTAAAATCGTTAACAAAAATTGCAACATTTATTCGTTTTCACGGTTAAAAGATATAATATTTCACTTTGTTTAATGAAATCCAATAATCCAGTGACTGAATTTTACAAAGATTTTATTGTTTGACTTAAATTTTGTGAAAAATATGCGAGTTTTTTATATTTGCTAGGAAAAGTGTAAACAAGAAACCATAAAAGAGTCGAATTATCAGAAAATGGCGAGATTTCAGTTTAGTACGTGGAATTTCTTCATTTTTGCGGAGAATTTATTTTTGATGATTTTTCAGTGAAAAAACATATTTATAGATATAGAAATATTGTCTTATTTGGAAAATTTTTCTTTTTTACATTACTGGCCTAAGCGTCGCGTCATTTATTAAGCATTCTATTGTTGAAATATGTGATTTATATCAAAGTGAATTTTTTTTTTCTTTTAAAGCTTATACTTCACAAAGACTTCACAAATTTTTGACAAAATGCCGAAAACAACTGAAAAAAGGAGGGGCACTGGCAAAAAACGCGTTAAGGACCCAAACGCGCCAAAGCGACCATTGTAAGTATCGCCAGATGTATCAATAATTCTCATTTGCTTTGTTAAAAATGGTTTCTCTTTGTTGCGCATATCTTTCATTATTGGACAATTATTTTTTCTTATGCATTCTATTTTCATTTTTATTGATAATTTATCAATTATCATTATTGGAGTAATGTTATGCGTGTAGTAGAATATGCAACCCGTCATACTTTATTTCTATAGGAAAAGCGTTGTCTGTTGTGTAGATTGCATACTTCCGGTTGGTTTATGGCGGGAAAGATTTTGTTAGTCTGGTAGTATACATTCACACACAAAAAAAAAACTTTGCCATCTTAGAATTTCAATTTTCTTTTTTTTTTTTTTTTTGGTAATTCGAATTTTGTAATTTTTTTAATGAATTATTTTATCAATGAATTTTTAAATGGTACAATATTTAGATTTAATTTATTAAATAATTTTTCTAAAATTATTTTATGTGACTAACATATTTAATTACTAATTTTTAAAATATTAATGATTTATTTATATTTTTTTTTTATTTTACTAATAATTAAAATTTTTTTCTTTATTTTTGTACTATATTGTAGTTTATAATTTAATTATATTTTTTGTAAAGTAAACAATTTTTAATAAATAATTTATAAATTATAAAAATATAATTAGTTTTTTAATATAACTTTTGTAATATTTATTTATTTCAATTTAATTTGAAATTAAATCTAATTTTTAACTTATTATGTATAAATTTTGTTTAATTTTTTAAATTGTATTTAAATTAAACGATATTTCTTTTCTTTATTTATTAGTATAGGTTTTTACATAAATTAGACACCTTTAGGTTATTTAAATAAATAAAATTAAAAATTTTCAAATTTTCAAATTTAATTCAAACATTTTTTGAATTGTTTTATAAACACAAATGTCTGAACAAAAAAAAAAATTTTTTTAAGGTCGGCATTCTTTTGGTTCTGCAAAGATGAACGCGCTGAAGTGAAGTCAAAAAATCCTGCTTATACAGTGGGAGATATTGCAAAAGCCTTAGGCAAAAAATGGGCAGATTGCACTGCTGAAGATAAAGCCAAATACGCTGAGATGGCAGAACAAGATAAAGATCGATATGACAAGGTAAATTTTCACGTTTTTAAAGATAATAAGCAAATTTTTATTTTATCAGACAAATTGGAATTGAAGAATTAACAAAAAAAAAAATCTTTTTTTTCCAGGAAATGTTTAACTACAGAAAAGGACAAGAGGGTTCAGAGAATGAAGGAGACTAAATTTTAGGATAACTGAGGATGGCAAACGCGCGTCAAAATCTCTTCTATCACTCCATGTTTTAGATCCCGAAGCACACCTCATCAACTGTACATACCATTTGTCTTTATTGTTAGCGTAAACGCACTTGCAGTTACATCACTAGTACAAGTAACGAAGTAACTAACCATAACTTACCGTTCATTTACAGTACAGTAACTAAGTAAAATAACTATTACTTTAAAAAAAAAAAAGCTATTGTGTGTATGAGTGAATTGTGAGGCACGACTAGCATGAATGAATTTTGTATTTTAACCTATTATAATAGTAAAAAAAAAAAAGAAAGAATAATGTAAAATTTAGTAGAATAAGGGATATTCCTTGTACAGTTTGTTTGCCCAGATATTATATAATTAGGGCATTTGGTTTGCTTCGAGCGATTATTATTCGGTGCGGATATCGCAACCGCGTACCTGATGTAAGTATTAGTCTATTAGGAAAATGTCTGGCGCTGCGTTTCTCCTTCGTTATTCTGTTTTTATTTTCTTTTCCATTGTAAGGCCTTGATCTCGAATCTTTAGGCTTGAGATGGTACAATGTTTTTTTTTTTCGATAAATTTAGTTCAGTATATATTTTTTAATTATCCTTTTTTGCGATTTTATAAGTGATTGGCTTGGATTAAATTCAAATTGTAAATTATGAAAAAAATAATTAACTAATCTCGAAATTTTATATGCATATGAGATTTTGCGTAATTGATTGTATAATGTTGATTTTCGTGATTTAATTTCTTGATTAATTATATGGAGAGAAAATAATAATGTAAAGACGCGAACTTCAAGTCAATGAAAAAAAAGGATTGTTAATAATCAAAAAAAAAAAAGGAATTTTTTTTTTTTTTTTTTGAAAATTTTACTTTGGGGATATTGAATTTGTGTTTATAGAATTAACTCTCGCCATTCTGTCTCTTTATTAGTAGTTTTTTGTCCAATAAAAGGTAACTTATCTGTATAACAAAATTAAATCGTTTGTTTCTTATTTATCGTTTCCAAATTCTTTTTTTTTTAAATCATTGAATATTTTTCTATAGAGAAAAATAAATATGAATTCTATATTTCGACATAGCTTTTTGTTTCGGAATTTAAAAAAATTTCTTTCAGGATAGCATATTAAAAAAAAAGTGAAAAATTAAAAATAGGATAATTATGGACGAATTTTTGTGGAGAAAAAAAAATAAGTAGGTCAAATGGGTTTTGGGTCGTTGACGGTTGAAATTTTTGCATTTGAGATGATTCGAACGTTACGTAAAGAACCGGTTGAGCAATAATATTCGAAAACTGCAACAGAAAATCGGAATACGTGGAATGGTCCATATTGAATAAACGCCCACAAGAATCATCTTTGTATATATATATAACGAAAGTGTCAGCAGATCAAACTCCTTGACTTCCATTCCTCTCGTGCGATTGTGAAGTTTACCTGACTTCTATAGATTCCACAAATGTTTGTGGAGGCCGTGTGAAAGTAATTGCAGCTTCCTCACACATTTCGTCTTTAACAAGATTATGAAATTTAATTAGCTTCGACTTGATTAAGGTCACTGATCTTTTTGTCTTGCTTTTTAACGGCCTTTATTTTTTATTCTACTTCCATTTTGTCTGCAGAATACACATTGTTTTCATCAAAAAAAAATTTTTTTTTTTTTAATTTCAATGTGAAAATTTTCTCATAGAAATATTTTTATTTTACAACAAAAATATCGAATTAAAAATTATTTTAATAGAAAGAAAAATTGAATCTACTCAAAAATACAAGACTTAACAGTGACGTAAAAAAAATAAATGATAGAGACTTAAGAAATAATTATCGAAAAATAGAAGTGTTTGAAGTTGTTGACGCACGAGAATATTGAAGAAATCGAACTTGAAAGGTCATGCGTTCAAAAATAATGTCGGTAATCAATGAAATTCGAGCGCGGAAGAAAAACGAATTTTACATCATCCAGGTCTCACGACCGCGTGCCTGACCTTTCTTTGCAAGAACGAAAGTTCGACAATGTTTCTTATCTCATTTTTGCCTTCTAAATTCGATTATAAGATTATTTCTCTTATGCATATATATATAAGATAAACGAATCAAATTTTTGGTTGCAAATTTTCGACAAAAAATATGTGAAACATATTTATTTACATTAATTAAATTCAAAAACTGGCAGGAAATTAAAGAAAAAAAAAAACGAAAATAATTTAAAGTAAAAATTCATAATTCTATTTTGAATTCTTTCGAAAGATATTTCAATATTATTTCATAAATTACTTGGCAAAATTTATTCGAAATTGTTCTATGATAATTTTAGGTCCAGTGGGGTCTGTGTGTGTATGTGTGAAAGATTGAAAAAAAAGTTGAGTAAATTGGATCTGTTACTGGATTGTCGGCACGAGTGGATGCGAGGGAAAGGTATAATTTGAACTCTCTAAACAAAATCAGAGTCAATATGATGATCGATGCTACCAGCGGCAATAACCAAAGGAAGATGTGTAATGATGTTCCTTTATGAAAGAGCACACGCACACGTGTAATCCATATAAAACAGCGTTCATAATTCAAGAGAATAGTCGAGAAGGGGTAAAGTGAGAGTCAGTATAAAAGGCCAATTCTTTCCTTTACCTAGAACACAGTCGATCGTAAACTCATCTCTTCGTTCTGCGTTTTGCATCTACTTTTTTTTTTGGCAATAGTACCGGTATACTGTATCATTTTTTTTTTTTTTTAGTGTTGAGACTTTGTTTCATTTTAAGGATACAAAATGAGGACCATAGTAAGTAAAACAAATTAAAAAAAATTAATTTTTCACATACCTATTGTGGAATTAAGCAATTTTTTTTTTGCATAGTTTAAAATTTAAATCCCTTCCCGAAAAAATGATCACAACAAATTTGTATCTTCGAGCTAATTAAAAATTAATAATTTTTTTATTTTTAAACCTAGGGGTTTTTTTTTCTTTCTTATTAAAATAATAGAATTTATTTTTTAAATTACTAAGCAAATTTAGAAGAACATTTTTTTTTTTTTATTTCGAAAAATAAAAATCAATTAACTAAATAAAAAAGTCTAAATATTTAATTTGAATAAATTAAATTCAAATAATTTTTTCTGTGCATAAATAATTTTTATTTATTATAATTTCTATATTAAAATTTTGGCAATGTCCTGTCCTAAAAAATTGCCAAAATTTTAAAAGAAATTATAATTTATTATTAATTGAGAGAAAAAATCAATGAAGATGTTCATTTATAGTTCAATAGTAATTAATTTAATTTTTACTTAATAAATAAAATAATTCATTGAATTAAATTAAACATTTTTTTTTTGCCGTTTGTATTGGTGTTAACTGTTAAGTATTGTCCCATCTTCATGTTTACATCACTCCTCTCATATTAACTTTCTTTAATAGTGGGTGGAGATTAAAAAATCTTGAATCTATTGTAATGTTAATATTATTCTCCAACATTGTCATATTGAATATAACTTTTACTTTTAAAATGAAGTAAATTAAAGACAGTGTTAATATTAAATTCATATATGTTAAAATAACAATAAATTAAAAAAAAAAAGTAATAAAACAAGAAGATACAATTTTGTATAAACAAATAAAAATAATACAATTATTTTAAATACAATTAAAATAATAAATTTTTGTATTTTTAAGTATAAATTTATTATAAAAATATTATTTTGGTACTTTAGTTTCCTAAATGTATTATTTTTGATTTTTTTTTTTTTTGTAATATACATTCAATAGGAAACTAATTTTATTACTTGCACTCTGACCTAATTTTGTGACATCGCAAGGAATTATTTTACTGACCCACCCTTAAAAGGGTAGCTTATATTCGATTATAGAGACTATATAAAAATTTTTATAAAAAATTTTATTGTGCCTTTAGAAATATTTTTAGTTAAATAAAAAATCATAATAATATTAGATATTCGCAATGATTATATTTTTTCCCATGTTCCATTATTTAAAAAATGGAGTAAAAATTATTTTTCAAATTCTTCGTATTTGAAAAATTTTGCTTTTTTACTCAATTTTCCGTTTAAAATGATATATAAAAAAAAATACTTTTTATAGAATGCCAATAATTTTTTTCAATGTGTGTATATATTATTAACTCTAATTATTAATTAACATAATTCAATTAATTAATCATTAAATTTTATTAGAAATTGTTATTTTTAAATTAAAATTTGGAAATATTTTGTAATAATTTATTCATATTAATTACGGCGATTATTATGGTTATTTAAATAAAAAAAAGTATATTATTGATTTTATTAGTAAAAATTTTCACCATATAGAATTCTTTTCTTTATCTTTCACCATTGAATTCCTTATTCAAGTAGATGACAATCAATCGATTGTGTTTTTATCAAATAACACTATTCTCTATATCTTTTGGCATTTATCTATGTCATAAGAGGAAGTATTCCAATATAGACATGGATCTTTTTCTGACACAACATTTTCATGTCGAAAACTAGAAATTTACTTTGATTTATATTTACAATTTACAATACACATGCGTATATTGAAAAAAAATTATTTAATTCAAATAATTGATAAATATTTATATACTTGAACCAAAAATATTTTTTTATATTGTATTAAATTAAAATCAATAATTTCTATATTTGAAATATAAATAATATAGAATTTCAATTGACTCAATTAACAAATTTATTTCTAATTATTTGATATACATTCAAAAATATTTATTAGGGAATTATTTATGATTATTTGATTTTTTATTTATTTGATATAGATTATTTGAATATGAAATAAATTTTTTTCAGTGTTTGTTCTAGAAACACAAAATTGTTATTGATATCAGTTGTACATATATAAGTAGATGAGATGGGATCGGAACGGGTGGAATGAGATGGGTTGGGATGGGATGGGATATATGGAATGAGGAGGGTGGGTTAGCGGGTCAGGAGTTAAATGACCCAAGTTGGCATTTAGTTTTCACTTTCACCCAGGCCAAAGGAATAACGCCAAACCAACCGAACCAGGAAGTTGGTCCATCTCAGCCTCCCCAGATTACACAATCATTATATTTTTATTTTCACTGATCCGTCAATCGTTTGATGACTAGACGCTATTTAGATGACTGGGTATTTATATATATATAAGCGATCTGATTTTGTAATCTCTGGGCCTTATATTATTGCTACCAACATGAAAAATCACATTCGACCCTTCGACATTTCCTTTTTCTTCTCGTTCATTTAAATTGTGTTGCGTAAAACAACTTCATAGAACAATTTATTTCGTATATATATATAACGTCCAATGGACAATCCCAGGAAGTAAAATGCCATAATTAGGGAGGAAAAATAAATTAAAGCTTTATAAATAGTAAAAAGTATAGAAAATCAATTATTATTTTCAATTCATTCAATATAATTTTCAGACAAGGACTATAATTAAGAATTAATTTAAAATCATTATTAGTTAAATAATAATATCTATTTCAGTGTAAATATTGTATAGTTGAGAATCAATTTTTTTTCTGTGTGGGATAAATACAGTGGAACCTCGATTATCCGAACTAATCTAGGCAAGGCCGGGTTCGGATAATCGAAAATTCGGATAATAAAGATTTTAATTTTTTTTAATAATTAAAGTAAAAAAATGTACAGTTGAACTATATATTTAACTTAATACATATGTTTTTAAATATACATAAGTATATACATATATGTAAATATATATTAATTAATAATATATTAAAAACTCAGAAAATTCGGAAATTTTTAAGATTTTTTTTGGCATAAATTTAGTTATTTTGCTTTGAATGATAAAATAAATAGAGAAAATAAAATTTAAAATTCGGGAGGCCAAAAAATAGTTCGGATAATAGAAGTTCGGATAAAATGTTTTTCGGTTCGGATAATAGAGGTTCGGATAATCGAGGTTCCACTGTAGTGAAATTTTTGGAAACATTTAAAAAAATAAATAATAAAGGTTGAAATCTTTTTTAAATTATTATATAAAATTAAAAATTCATTTTCCCATGTTCTTTATGGAAAATTTAATTTTTGATTCTATAATAATTAAAAAAAAAAAAATTACATTCTAATGATTTTAAATAATTTCTAGATTAATTTCCGGAAATATGAAAATTATTTCCTATCATTTTTTTTTTTCAACTAAAACAAAAAATTTTTAACAACTATATATATATAATAACAATATATTTGATATATAGTAGAATTATTATAATTATCATAAGTTATATAAATTATAGGTTTTCTTTTAATAAACAATCTTATACAATGGAAAGTTGATATTTTTTCTCATGAACTTTTCTTTCATTATGTAAAAATATATTTATAATATTTAAAAAAAATGTTTTGTTAACGATGTTTATTTAAAAATTTTATTTGTTATTATCCTTCTAAATGTCCGCATTATGGTTGACGTTATATATTTATTATGACTATTATTCGCCAATATATATATATATATATATATATATAAACGTATACATAGTTTATGATGTACATTTTTATGTAAAGGATGATAAATATTACATAAAATAGTTGCATTATATATTGGGGACATCTCAAAAAGAAAGTTTTTCACTTCTCGAAATATATATACTTTTTGGATAATATTTAATATATTCATAATACCGGTTTCAATGTGACTTGAGTGTACACCTTTATCGCATGTGTCAATGACTATAAAAGATTTTGACGAGAAAGCTGATTAATATTTTCACTTTCAATGAAATTTATATGAACGATTTCACATTTTTTCAATGCCTTATTAATTTTTATCAAGTTCACCATGGAAGATTATTAATATATATATATATATATATATATATATATATATAAAATACTATATGATTTGCATAATTAGTCTATAACAATATCCAATATTAAAAATATTAAGAAAAATATGAAATATCGTGGATATATACGACAGTATAATTATCGAGAATATTAATTAAACGAATCATCTATTTTTTTCGTGAAATCTTTTTTTTTTTATTAGTAAATTAATTTTTTAATGAGAATTTTATTATAATTTAATTATTAATAAAAGTAATTTCTATTAATTTATCAAATATTTATAATCTGTAAAATGGAATTCTATTAAATTTTTTAATTAATATTGAAGTAAGAAATACAATAAATTGCGATTCATTAATTATAATAAGACAAATTGCTATATTGTAATGAAAAAAATGTTCTCGTTTTGTTGGTTCAAGAATTGTTATATAATTTTTAAAATGATAATCAAAGAATATGAATATTTTTAATATTATATTAATTCACAATTTTTTACATAAAAATATGTTAATATTTTTTATTTAACTTCAAAAGCCCCAAATTGAATTTTATGGATTTTGTCGTAATTAAAAGTCTAGATCAAAAAACCGATTATAATATTTGGTAATTATTAAATTTTTAAAATTAAAAAATTTTTAATTTCATTTTTCTGCATATTTTTTATATAAATAAATATTTACAAACAACAGTGTGGTTCAAAACTTTTTCGGAATTTAAAAACTTATAACCATAGTTTTTTTTTTTTTTGAACTGGACTATCAATAATTGTTATTTTAATAATTCTTTAATATTTATTTTAATATAATAATCTTTCTTATATAGGTATTTGCTCTAATTATTGGAGTAGCAGTTGCACAAAATCAAAATTACCATCAGCAGGATCAGGGAAAAAATCAGTATCGTGAAGATGACAGAAATGGAGAAAGGCGCGTTAGTACAACTCCTATTCCAATTCTTCAATGGAACAAACAACAGGAACATGATGGAACTTACAGAACAAGGTAAAATAAATAATCACATAGAAATTTGAGTTTAAAAAAAAAAACTAATAAACATTTTGGAAAATAATCTAATATTTTTATAATAGTTTATTGATTATAGAAAGTCCTCTTGTAAATGATATCAAAGTGTCTTGAGGGATAAAAATTTTAAAGGGCATTTTGTTTCTCGAAGTGTGAGAGAAAAATATTTTACATAGAATGACAAGAGGGAAAATTAACGCGATATGGAGTTAATTTATTGTCGGTATTATGTTATCAATCTTTCTTTTTTTTTTTTTTTTTTTTCTTGTTCGATGGTAGCATTAAAATTCTAATTACTTGTGATTTTCCCCGCGTTGAATAGGTGAAGGCACTCTGCCAACTTATATATAGGATTATAAAGTAACTGCCCATCCCCGCAACGATGTGGCAATTCGTAAAGGTGCAGTCGTCGTGCCCATGAAAGCCTTGAACTATACCACAGGACGATTCCTTTTGCAATATAATATTAAAAGAGTTGAATTTGATTTTATATACTTTTATTTTAGCTACGAGACGGGTAACAATATTATCGCGGAAGAGAGCGGTTACCTTAAGACGGTAGGTGAGGGTGAAGATCAAGTCGAGTCACTCGTCCAACAAGGAAGTTATTCTTATACAAGTCCTGAGGGTCAATTGATAACAGTTCACTACACAGCTGATGAGACTGGTTTCCATGCTTCTGGTGATCATATTCCAACTCCACCTCCTGTTAGTGAAGAAATTCAAAAAGGATTGGATCTCATTTATGAGGGAATTCGTAAACAACAGGTAACAATTTTTTTTTTTCTATTTGAAAAATAAATTATTGCTTTTATATATTGACTAATTATTTTTTTTACCCAAAAAGTTGAAATTCAAATTTTTCGCTAAAAAAGATTTTATTCAAGAAAAAATAATGATCTAATAACCAATAATAAATAACATTATTAGTACTTAAAAAAAATCATATAAAATAGAATTTAATGCATTATAGAAAAAATTCTATCTTTTTATTATAGAGGCATTTTAATTAGAGGCTTCTTTAAATTCCCACAACCTTCTTATGTTTCAGGGTCATGTATTATATAACATAAAAATGTTAATTAATAATTAAAAATTTATGTTCCTTTAAAAATTATATTTAATATTCAAAGAGAAAGGTCAATTTTATTGAAATATATTTTATTCTCTAAATCTACTAATGTAAGAGAAAACTATAACTAAATATTATTTTGTAATATTATATTATCTCATCAGTGAAATATAATATAATCTTCCCAAGAACTTATAAAATTGTAATTTTATTATAAAATATATTTTTTAAAAATTTTTTAGGAAGCTGATGCTCGTGAAGCTGCTCTCAAGTCAAACCAACCACTTAGCCAGCAGGTTGATAGACAACATGACGACAGAAAATACCGACAATAATGAGATTAAAGTAAATACCAAATTGCAATCTTTAGTTTAAGTTTAGATCATATAAAAAAAAATTGTATCCTTATAAACACCAATCAACGAAATACTCAAACAATACCGAAATAATTTAAAAAAAAAAAAAAAAAAAAAACGAAAAGCATTGTTCAAAGCTTCATTTCTTATCTGTCGTAATATCACCTACCTTGTATCTTTAATATTAATATAATTATTGTATTGTAGTATTATTACTATTATTATTGTAATTTTTTTTATTGTGCGTAAAGACTAAGATGCGAAATGCACCCTTCGACCTGTGCCAATCCGACCATTATCATCATTAAAATATTATCATAAATCGTAAAGTGAGAAAACTCGTTACATAATTTCTTTTTATTTCACATTTTCACCACCAGCCTTTAAATATTTATAGTTAAATTTTGAAATAAAAAATATTAAAATTCTTTTCAAATTTTCACGTTATTTGAAAATAAAAAACAAATTGTATTAGAATTGATATTTAGGGCAGTTCACCTGTCACAGTCATTACGAAAAATTATAATGTTTTTTTAAATTAAAAATAATTCCAAAAACACAAATTTTGTATTTATTTCATTAACATGTTTTTTTTATTAAATTAAAATCAATTAATTTCTCCTTTTCTGAAACTATAGCATTAGTAATAATTATTTTATTTTTTCAATTAAATATTTGATAAATTTTTTTTATCAATTAAAATAAAAACTAATTGATTTCGAGATATTTTCAATTTGCTTTTATTAAGGCATAAATCATTGTCGATACATTTTTGTGCTTCTAATTAAGCAGTTTTGTATATTTAATATTTAAAAGTATTTTTCTTCGATTTTCGAAAAGGGATTTCATTATTTTTAAAACTTCCTTTATTTTATGGAAATATCTTCTCACTATATTGGATAGTATTTGAATATAATAAGTAATTATATTTTTTAAGAGGACGTATTAAATAAAAAATTAAAAAGTGATACAACATTATTCTGAGGTATCGAAATACTAAAAGTTAGAAAATTCTCGCAGGTTATAAATTCTAATTTTTTTTAAACTAATCGATAAAGCAAAGGAGATCAATCAACTGCTCTTATCGCTTAATATAAATATGTTAGAAAATTAAATAATTCGTTGAAACTAATAAAATGAAAATTACAATAATTAATTTATTAAGAATCATATTTTATATACTCAAAGGTTTTGATAAAAAAAAAAACTCGTTACATAAGAATAATGTAATTTTTTGAATTTAATTACGAAGATGTATTTTTCATAAAAAAGTAGCGATTGAGAAATATTAATTTATAATTTTAAAAAAATTATTTAAACTTAGTTTAAAAGCGTTTTGGCATTTTAATAAATTGTGAACAAATATAACGAACATAAATACAACACTGACTGCATTGAATTTCAGTCTGCATGAGATTCATTAAGATTTTAATTTTATTATCTTATTCAAAATGATTTTATATTGTTCTGGAAACATTGTGTTTGAAAAAAAATTGCTTTTGTGAATTCGAGATATAAACTTTCTTAGAAAGCAAAAAATAGTGACGCAAACACGTACATTTGCTCAAAGCGATACAATATAATATTGAAATTTAGCTTTGGAATGTTACAAAAAATCAACAGCCATAAAATAAAAACATAAAAAATAGATATCATTAATAAGAAAGATGTTTTAAATGTCTTTTTTCTGATGAAAACCAAAAATTAGGAATCATATTTAAAATTTTTATTTAAATTTTACTATTTAAAAATTTGTAGAGTAAAAATTATTTTCAATTGTTTGATATAATTAAAAATCAATTAAATTGAATATACAAAAAAAATATTTACAAAAATATAGGCAATTATGAGACTGGAATTTTATACCAAATATCGGGGAAAAAAAGTTCAAGAAATTAAATAATATGAGAATTAGAATAAAAACTAATAAACGTAAAATTGAAGCGCAAGATAATTGCTACAAACACATCTACTATAATATTATAGTAGTCAATTTGTTAAAGCGTCTAATATTCTAAGCTATAAAAAAAAACCGTTAAAATATTAAAATTATGAAGCGTATTAAAAATCCATTCTTCTGATCGATTCAATAAATTTTTGCTTAATTAAAAATTAATTGATAATTATTTTTTAATGAAGCTTCTATAAAATCGATCTGAAAAATTGAAAGCACCCAAGTCGTATTTCACGAAATTATGTACTTAGAATAATAACAGGTTCAAATAAAAATGTTCAAAGAATTTTTTTATTTCATTTAAAAATAAACGATTTTTTATATTATTTTTTAAATAACTAAAATAAATAAGTAAATAAAATATTATCGTCTTCTTTTTAATTTAATAATTTCCCTTAAATAAGAATATTGAAAATATGAAAATTATTTTTTCAACAAATTTGTTTGAACCTATTGGACATTTTGAACTCTAAGCATTTTTACATATACAAATCTCAATTCACACTCACATACGCACATCTATATCATACATATAACCAAAAACAAAAAATTAAAATGTAAATGGATGAAATTCATCGACTGGCACGTCGAGTTTAAGTATTTTATATATTTATATAATATTCACTAGCTTAAATTAACAAGCGTTTTCTGCGTTAAAAAAATTAATGATATTATTATATAGTAAATAATAATAATTATGAATTATATACATATATAATTATTATTATATATTACATAATTATACAATAATAATAATGTAATATCCGTTTAAAGAATCCTCAAATTTCTGGCAGGATAATAAACAATTCATTATTTTAAAACAATATAAATAACTAAAAAAAAGTGAAAATAAAAACTTTTAATGTAAAAAACGCTCGTTTTTTAATATCAGAGCTACTTAATATGATTCAAGTTGCTCTCACGAACTAATTGTGTCATTTAGTCAAATAATTCTAAATAATCAAGAATTATTACTTCTTAAGATTCTTTTTAATCTAGAAAAAGTTCATTGACTTATTAGTAGATTTTTACTAGTCCTGATAAAATTATTTTTTTTATAAAATCACTCACTGAGAAAATGGCGTTGGCAAATTATACTATGCCAGTAAGACATAAATCCCAATGCAGAGATATATGAAAGAATTCTTAATATTTAATATTACATTATTACATTTAGTATTACAATTAATAATAATTATAATAAATATATTATAAGAAAAAATTTCCTTATGAAATTTATATAATTTTAAAACTTACTGTTGTTCAATATTTCGCCAATATAGAAATAAACAAAAAAAAAGTATTTATTAAAAATTTTTACAAAAGTAAAAATACAAAAATAATTGAATAATCTCTGCGAATGGGATTTAGTTTTGAAAATAAATATTATTGGAGGGGGGAGGGGATGTGATCGACTTAATGTGAACCAGTTGACACTGGATCATAAGGTTTTGAATTGAAACCAACGTATCTATTATTTTTCTTGTGAACAAAACCATTTTGTGGATCGGCTTTATAATAAACTACCCTTCTAATACCAAATGGATCGACATATCCAAAAGATCCTATTGTTTTGTCATTTGGTTTTTGTTCCTCTTCGTGATAATGTGTTTTGAGGTAATATTGAAATCCATCAGCAGTCTGATGTTGACCATCGTAGGTAGGATATTCTTGATATCTTACTGATCCACGTGGTCTAGAAATACAAATTTTTAATAGCAAAATCTTAACTGATGATCGAAATAATTCGTAAATTAATTACATATTGCTCTAAGTTTTTTTTTTTTTTTGTAAATTTTTTGATTAAAATCTCATAATTTACACAATTTTTGTGCGTCGTTGAATTTTTTAAATTAACGAATTTCCACTTTGCAACATTTTATAAAGTAAACTTTATATTGATTCGAATTTTGTCATAAGAATTTTTATTTAACTGAATTTTTAATTAATAGAATTTCTATTTAGCTGAACTTTTATATATATATTAGATTATTTAAGTTCATGTAATTTTCATTTAAAACAATTTGCATTTAACGGAATTAATATTTTAAAAAATTTACATAAAAAGAATGTTAATATTACAGAATTTACTTTTAATCGAATTTTAGTTTATCCAAAAATTCAATTAGAAGTATTTTTATTTAACTAAATTTACATTTAACAGAATTTTGATTTAACATAACTCTAATATCAAATTTGGTAATTTTGATAATTTTTTCAAATGTCAATTCGAGTAAATGAAAGTTCGGTCAAAAATCTCATTTAAAAATTCAGCTTTAAAATTCTTTTTTTTTAAATTTTGCTAAAAATCAATTATGATAAATTTGTATTAAATGAAAATTCGGCTGTATATAAGTTCAAATAAAAATTCTTATCCATAACTATTCTGTCTACTGAAAATTCGATCGAATAATAATTCTGACAAATTTAAATTCAATAAAATAAAAACTTTGTAAAACGAAAATTCATTTAAGGACGTTTACACCCGGTAATTCAGATATTTAGAAAAAACTATTTATTTGACATTTAAACAAAATTTTAACTTTTCTTAAACAAATAATCACATTTTGAAGACGGTGCATTTGGTTAAAAATTCCTGTGATGAAGATGTTAAGAATTATTTTCTGAAGAAAAAAAGTCACGATTCATATTTAAAGCGGATTGTTTTTAAACAAATTTTTAAGAAACGATACGAAGAAAATTTTGATAATATGCAAAATATATAATTATAAATAATTTTTGAAAGTTTTAAATTAAAAAAACTAATTTCTGTTTTTTCCAGCGGATATTATTAATAATATATTAATTATTTAAATGTCAATAAATATTTTTTTCTAGAGGTCTGCATTCTCGAGTATAAAAATCCTTAAGTAACAATTCTGTAATATAAAAATTCGGTTAAATTAAATTTCTGTTATAAATAGTAATTTCGAAGTAATAAAAATTTTAGAAAATTAATTTTCAAACTTATTTATGCGTCTCAAAATTTATATTTAATGAGAAAAAAAAACAATCTAATAACACCTAAAATAAGAAAAAGAAAAATTAATCAAACCTGGCAATTTCTGGACGATATCTAGAGTATCGTTTGCTATTGACAGTATTATTAGCCAGCCTGTAGCCCCTGATTCCATTAGGTGCCACTCTCACATGGCTCGACGCTTGTAATTGATCATCATTAAAATTCGGCGATTGAACAATTACAGCAGGTTGTGGTGATACTCGATAAGAATACGATCTTTCATATGGATTGATAAAGGGATTATTTTTAATTTGATGTCCAGTTGAGAGGTAATTTGAATTAGCATTATTATATACATCATCATAGGGCGATGGAGTTGTAAAGGGGAATAATTTAGGTCGAAATGTCGTTGGTATTGGATCATATTGTACCACAGAGACTGTTGATGGGGAATAACTCCTTAATGGTGATACTGTATTCACCTCAATGCTGTTACCAGACACGTCCTTTATTTCTGGTTGTCTGTGAAAATAAAACACCCACGATTATTTAAAGGATATATTATAATAATAAAAATAAGCGAAGCTCCAGTCCTTATATATATATATAAATATACTGCGTTTGCAGTTGAAAAATATAATTGCATTGCTTGGTGTTAAAATACGCATGTTGTTCGTTGTGACCTTCGTCGCGCAACCTAATACAAAAAAAAAAAAAAAAAAAAATTAATGCGTAAAAAGCTTAAGAAATTTGTGGTGATTATCGATAAATTACAGATGTAGTGTGGTCCGGATGTCGCTTAGTGCTTTAAACAGGTATGTACACTCGAGTTGTAAAATGAAAACAGAGGGGGAAGAAAAAAATTGTAAAATTTATAATGGGCTGGATAAATGTAGTCAAGCTTATGGTCATTTTCAGGATATAAGACATTTACGAACAGTAAGGAAGGCTAGTATATACTAGTTTGACCAGATAAATATAGATATATATAGAAAATAATTTATAATAAAAAAGGAATTTTGCACTTAAACTGGATTTGCACTTGTTATTTAACAGTTCATTTATAATCAATTTCACACGTATTTTTACCGTTAAAAACAGTTTCACTTGCGATAATAATTATCATATAAGAAAATGTAAATTTTTTTTTAATAATTCTTTTTAAAAAATGATTAGGAATGAAAATTTTATAATTACCTAAAGGGATTAGGTGGCCTTCGTGGCCTTACCAAAATTCCACTTTGAGGAGGTACTTTTTTTGAAATTGAAACTGCATCTTGTATTGGTCGATCTTTTCCAACGAACACCATTTTCGATCTACAAAAAAAAGGAAACATATTAAATTATATATATTCTGATTCTCTCTAATGAGAGTTTTTAATATGTATATAAAATTTTATGCGAATGATGAAAAAAAAAAAAAATGTGTGTGGCTTAACTAATTTTTTTACCGCGTGACAAATAATCATCATTTTGTATAATATATAATTAATTTATGATAAATAAATATAATATAGTAATTTAAGAAGAAAATTAATAGAACAGGAAATCCTGCAATCGCAACAAAACTTGATGTGTCGGAAGCTATATGTGAAGAATGATCAGAACAAATTGCAGTGTTGAGTGTAACGAATTGCAATGTCGATTAATATCAGGACACGAGGTCATTGCGAAATCATGGTAAAGATCATTCGCTATCATATGTGTATATACAGTCTATATGGTTACAAAATATCGAAGGTATTGTTAGGTTGGGTTCTCGCAGGAAGATTTATGTTTTGACACTGTTTTACTACCATAATTTCCTCTTATACTATGTCCTTGATTGGGTTCTTTTTCTTTTCATTAAAAATTCACAGAATATAAAATTCAATTATTCATTTTTTACTGAAATGTTATAAATTTATTTATTTAATATCAATGTCTAAATTTTAAAGTTCAAGTAAAAAATAATTCAATATCTCAATATTTTATTAATATTTAATAAAAAAATAAATAAAAAAAAAATTCAAATTATATCGTAAAAATAAAAAAATTTGAAAACAATAGAATTTTCGAATTGTTAAAAAAAATTTCTAACATACTTAAGAATTCGGAATCCTTGTTGATCAGCGATGTAATCTTTAATTCGTAAATATCCTAAAGGATCAAGCCATCCCTCTGTACCAATTACAGTACCATCCGCTAATCTTTTCTCCTTCCGATACTGTCCATTGAGTGTTTGGAATCGGAAAAATCTTTCAGGACCTTCGTCTGTTTGTATGTGATATTGCGTATTTGGAGTTAAATTCCATCCGCTTCTTTCAGCTTCGATTTCGTCTGCAGTCAAGCAGTAAACCGAAACCTAAAAAAAAATAATAATTTTTTTAATATAATTTATTAAAAAGAAAATTTAAATTAATAAAAAAATTAGTACCTTAAAAAAGATAAAATTGTTTGTACTATAATTGGAATTAAAAATATATAAATAAGGAAAAATTACATAATTTCGAACTAAAATGATTTTTTAGAGTCGAAATAAAGAGAACACTATTTATAAAGATAAAGAAAAATTTGCAATTCATTTTTATCGAGCAATTTAATATGTAAAAAAAGTTCAATGAAATAAGATTTCTCGAAACAATATTACGCAAACAAGGTACAATTTTTGTGGGCTCGGTTAAGGTGAGGCTACATAATTAGTGTCATCTTTAAAATCGTTTTGCGTTCTAGTAAACGCACCATTCACTTAATTCTACTTTTATTCCTATTGTTTCACTGCTTTAAATAAAAAAGTATGTCATATATATATATAGTTTAAAATTATTTACATTAATATCTATAAAAATTATGTAAAAAAGAAATTAAAACAAGAAAAATTGCATTCACTCTCACAGCAAAAAAAATATTTAAATTTTATTTGTGCTAAACAAAATTTTATTTGAAACAAATAAATAGTTATTTAAAATAAATTTAATTAAAGTATTATTGAAAAAAAAAAAATTCACGAATTAAATTTGCTTATTTTCTACATATCAAAGAATTGAATCCAAAGATAATTTGAATAATAATAACAGGTGAGAAAGTCATGCTTCTCTGAATTTCCTATATAAACTCATTGTTTTCCATTTTGCAATATAAAATCGTAGTTATAATTTCAGATCTAACCGAAAAAAAATCAATTTTTACATAACGTCTGCAAAATAATCGGCAAAAATCTTGACAATTAATATTCAGAATTTGTAATGTGTGTACATTCTACTTTGCAATTGAGTCGAAACGGGAGCTAACGGCGCACAACGTGGGCGCTCATGGTAATCTGGTATAAATGTGGGCGAAATCAACCTCGAAATTGTTTCTTCTGTCATCGAAGACAACCATGAAAATTCTCATGGGTCAATGACGAAAAAAAAAAAAGAAAATGAGCAACCAAACAATAATTGATTAAATTAAACGCGCGAAATAAAAATGAATTATATAAAATTTATTTTTGAAATCTTATAAGATTATTTGCATTAAATAAAAATTCTATTTTGTATTCTGAAAATAAAAGAGAAAAATTTAATTCGATTTTAACGATCCTTTATTACTAACTACAGTAACTATTATCTTTGCATTATTTTGCAAAATAATAGATTACTCAAGGCAGAGAGAGATTTCTCTTTCTTTTTGCGTACTGTGTTCATTCAGACATATAAATCTTTCAATAAAAATTATAGAGCTCTTAATTATGATGTATAGTATACATATATACTATCAAGATCTATATATATATATATATATTGAATTAAATCTTGATACAAAATCAAAAATGATTTATTGATCACGAAGAATCCTTTTGTCATTTCAATGACTTTATTAACGACAGGATAGAGTTCATTGCATCTATATACTGACAATTATGTGCAATGAGATTGAGGTATTGGAGGATTTTTATTTGAAACTCGATTTATCAGTTCCGTTCCGCGTGATTTCATTTATATCTCGCTGTATTAGTCAGTTCATTTAATTCAAGACGGAAATATAAACAATTGCTTTCATTTCAGACATTCGTTAAATTCTTGTTCTTATTTGAATATATTTGCAAATAAAAATTTTAAATTTTGCCTTAATAATATATAAATAATATTATAATTGCAATAAAAATTTATTTTATTCACGTAGAGAAATTAATTAGCCAAATATAATATACCTATATTAAAAATATACTTTTTTCTCAAAGCTATAAATAACTATATTATTTATTTGTTTCAAATAAATTTTTTGTTTATTGATTAATATTTCATAAAATGAAAAAATTTAATTTGAATTCTACAAAAAAAATTTTCAAGTTGAATTTTTCTCTCTTGAGAAAAGTAAAAAAAAAATGTACTATCAATTTAAAAAAAAAGAAATTGTATTTAGATATCACTCAATATCCGTCGGAAAATAAAAGATTGTTTACAAGTTCCTTCTTAATAGAAATTAGAAAGTTTAAAAATACAATAGTTAAACAGATTTTGACAGTATCTTTTATTTCAACTAACTTTCAAAATTTCTTCCTAAGCTGTTTTTCTTCAATTGTTAACAAGGTATATCTAAAATTATGCATCCTCATTCTTTTTTCATCATGCTCATATTAAATATATATTTTAAACAACTAAGAGAATATTTTTTAAAATACACAAATTTTCAACATGATTAAAATTATAATGTATGAATGTATAAATATTTTCAACAAATTCAAAAACAAACAAAAAATTATTGTCTTTATTACATTAGCAAAAAAAAAAAAAGAAGTCTGGATAGCAAAATTTCCAAACAATATGGAGAAAAATATCTATTATAAAGTTATAGTGAAATTAATCTGTTGAAGAATTCTATTGTTATAGGTATTATGAGAAAAAAAAAACAAAATTAAAAGAATTTGAAAGTGAATACTTTTACTTAGCAGTTCCACTAATAATGGAGAGCATGAATTTTTCATAAAAATCAAAGGTTAGAATTTTCATTGTACAGATTTTATTAGAATTACTTTATAGTAGGGATGGAAAAGTCGACTTCGACTTTAGTCGAAAGTCGACTTTCGATACTAAAAAGTCGACTTTTCGCGGTCGACTTTGATTCGGTCGAAGTCGATGAAAGTCGATCTTCGTCGGTCGACTTCTCGACTTTCTGTCAACATGAAAAACAACTGACACGTGATAAACACGCATGACGAAACTGTGGACTAACGGTTTTCGGGACGTTATATATTATTTTTCGTACATTGTGTTGCACGACATTATTTTTAATTAAATATTAAGCACATGGGTCCTAGTGCTGTTTGGATTTATTTTTCAAAAATTGGTGACGGCAGTAAAGTGCAGTGTACAGAATGTAAAAAGGAAATGTGTTTTAATAAGAATATTTAAATAATATTTAATAACAATAATTTCGATTGAATTATAATTATAATTAGATGATAAAGAATAATTTTAATATTTTAAAATAGAATGTTTTTACCATTAATGTAGAAATATAATCAATTACATTAAAAATGTTTATTCTGGATTTTTCCTTTCATAGTTAAGTATTACTTATTGTAATATAATTAAATTTAAGTTCATCAAATTAGATTTTTCTTAAAAAAATAATTCAGAGATAATTATTAATAAGTTATAAATGAATATTCTTAAAATAAATATGATTTCAAAAAAAGTCGATAAAAAGTCGACTTTTTTTACAAAGTCGACTTCGGTCGACTTTAAAAAGTCAAAAGACTTAAAGTCGATTGTAAAGTCGAAAGTCGACTTTTCGTTTCCCCTTTCCATCCCTACTTTATAGACGAATTTTCATTTTTTGAATTATTATATGACAGAATTTATTATTCAATGAATTTTTACATTACAGAATTTTATAGGTATCGAATTATTATTTGGCAAAATTTTTATTTCACACTGGAAAAAATGTTGCCGAGAAATTCAACTACCATTGGGTAGTTGACTAGAAAGTAGTTAAAATAACTTCTTTTTTAGTTAATCTAATCATGTTCATGTAGTTAATGTAACTATTTTTAAGAAGTTAATAAGTAATAGTTGATTTTACGTAAATATGTAGTTAAAGAACAACTATAGGTCGGTAGTAAAATTAACTTTCTTAAGGTAGTAAAAACAAGTGGAATTGTAGTCAACTCAAAATTTGAAGAGTAGTAAATCCAACTACTATTCACCAGTTATATGAAATGTAGTAAAAGGAATTATTTTCTTTAATTAATATAACTGCTTTTTGAGTAGTCAATTTTTTATTAATTTCTATGATTTTATAGGCTTCAATAAAATTCTCGTTGTAGAATTAACAAGTCGTCTGTAATTAAAACTACTACTTTAAGTAGTAGATTTTTACTATTTTAATTAATTCGATAAACTTAAAGAAGATTTTTGATGTAGAATTTACAAATCGTTTCCAGTTCACAGAAAAAACTTGGACTCATTTTTGTTGCAACTCATTTTCTTTTGGGTATCGAAATGAGTATGGGACAAACTTCATGTTATTCAAAATGATATTGGCTGGAATTTCAGATTTCTAAGTTGGCATCATAAGCAGAGTAATTTTGTATTTCAATTATTGTTTCTAATATTTCAACAACACCAGAAAGATTATTTTGACCAGTACGAATATTTAGAAGTTTTTAAATAAAAATTATTTATTATTATTTACGTAGATAATAATTAATTTCATAAGTTTTTAAATTTACCGCTATTATTTAAGTTGGCAGTACCGTTCCTGTTGTCAAAACACATGTTTTCATTTTTCTAACCTAAAAACATATTTCCTTTATTATTTTATTACGCGATTACAAGCAATTTTTAATCAAATATATTAAGTCTAGCGTGTTATTTACTTCTTTGTAATTATTATATTTCATGTTTTTGTGCAAAATTATTCGTTATTTCACAATATTTTTCCATTTTTCTTTTTCTCAAAATGAAACTTGCCTGTTTCATTTTGATACTTTTACCTTAGAACTCGAAATGAGACAACCAGTTTCATTTTTGTTGCGAATCAAATTGAGTATAGAATCTATACTCAATTTGACTTCAGGTTTTTTCTGTGTTAAAACTACTACTTTAAGTAGTAGATTTTACTACTCAAAGTGGTACAATAGGCTTTAAGAATATTTTTGTTGTAGAATTAACAAATCCTTTGTGATTAAAACTACTACTTTAAGAAGTAGATTTTACTGCACTATGTAATTAAACAATTTATAATATAATTAAAAGATGAAAAATTGACAAGTCAAAACTTAAAAAGGATAGTTATAGCAACACTGAGAAAAAAGGTTTGAGCTGACAACCAAATATTTCATTCAATATATGTGCAACTAAAATTTTTTGGTTGACACAA